TTTACTTCTAATTGCTCTCCCAGGGACCTAGGAATGTGTGGCCTTAGGAAGTTAACGGGAATTTTTCAGCACAAATAGATACTCCAATTTGTCTTCTAACATGGAGATGAAAATCAATTTCTCTTGCTGATGAAGACTGCTGTTTGTTTCTATTGACTGAGTAATGCATTGCTCTGCTTGTAAAAGCAGGATTAAGAAAAAAACCCTGCAGGATTCTAAGGGACATCTTGGGGACAAAGTAAGAGTTCTAACTGATCGCTGAATTCTGATAAGCTAATACCCCCCAGACAGGCTAGCATTTAATTCTGCGCAGATGTCATATAAACTGACCCTGAGTATCACTGAAAAGTTCCCTTCTCTTTGGGTCGCTATGCTCATTTGGAACGGCAGGCCTGCAGATGCACGGAACCCAGGCTGGTCACATGGGGTTCCTTAACATCAGTCCTTTCCAGGCGGCTGGCTCCCTGGTCTTAATAATCCCACGCTGGGAGAATCCTGCTTTAGTGGTTACACCTCGTCCTCTGCGACGGAGCTATTTCCAGGTCCCGGGAGACAGCCCAGAGCAACAGCACTTCACTGATCTGGTTTCAATGAATCTTGTTGAAAAATTCAGGTGGCCTTTACTGGTCCTACTAATGCATGGATGATTCTTTATATCAAGGGCAGTGTGATTTGGACATTAATGATTTGCAATGTTTAGCATAAAACTAATATTTCAATTTTGCAAAATTATTATGATTATTTTAAATTCGTGTCTCACTGATTGGAGCTGATCAGGCTATGTGTGAGGAGATTCTGAAGACCAGGGTAAGGAAGTTGGTTAATAGGGTTTCAGGGAAGTTCCCTTTAGGAGAAAAAACTAAAACTCAAGTTCTTGGACCTAACACACCCCACTTAGCACAGTGCAGTAATAAGCCCATTAAGTTTAATTAGAATACAATTTAATTGTTAGAATGTAAGTAATTTCTAATATAATTAGAAAATGTGGATGTCGGTTGATTAAATGGAGTTCACTGTACTGATTTCTGTAAGGAAGAGAACGAGTATTTTTCTATAATGACTCAAGTTTTTTTTTTAAAGTTTATAATTAAAAAGTCAGTGATTAGCCCCAAGCACACTGCAGCATTTGTGATGAACACAGCTCGTAGGATTCGCAGGCAATGTCACTGGTTGACTAATGGTTAGCAGTGGTGACCAAACGCGAACTTTCTGCTTTTAGACTTTGTTCTCCCGTCTTCGCGTACTATTTGCTCCTACAGCCGCCTTGATTCACAGCTCTGAGGCTGTTCAATTGTTTTTAAACATAAGTGCCAACTCTGCTGATTTCCTGAATGTTGACAGACATGAGAGTTTTTAAATAAAATGTTTAACACACACACACACACAAGGAAATGAAACAAGATTACCCATGCTGTGCTGCGGAAAATAATACAAGAGAGAAAACATTATTTTTAGATAAGACTCTTTCCTAACCCTTCAATCTCTACACACTTGTCCACTCTGTGTCAGGGTCTGAACGTGCACGGCCCGTATTTCTTCCTGTCACACACACCGCCACTTATCTGTCCATGCCTCCATCATTTTCCTCCAGCAAGGCTAAACCCAGTGTTTCACTGTGAAGTTTAATAAGACAAGAGGCGAGCATTTCCACTAACGGAGAGAAGAGTTACGTGAGAATAAGCCTTCAGGATCTGCTGAGCAAATGAAAGGGCAGAAGAAGAAAGACCAAAAAAGCCCGTGACTACATTCTAGGTTGTCTTTATACAGTTCTTTTTCTGGTGCAGCCCACTAGCACTTTCAACTTCTCTTATTTGTAAAAACAGCCTTTTCCTTTGTGCTTCAAGGAAATTGCACCAGCAATTTGCAGGTTCTTAATACCACTCCACACAAGTCTAGCCTGTACACAGTCACTGAAACTTGAATATATAAATAACAGCAGCTTGTGAAAATTATATTTTTGGAAGTTAGAGATTTAAGACCCTCCTAGGCTCTGGAAGAATTACTTTGCCACCATTCATTTAAAATGTTATTTGACCTTCTAGATTTCTACATTTCTTAGAATTAGGTCCTGGATCCTGTGTTTTATATATAAAAGCCTTCCTCAAGACTGTATTTCCAAGCTGACACTGTACTTTATGGATGCTGTTTGGGAAACACTGTATTTACAGGGTCCAGTCCAAGCCAAAACCAATTAGTTACGTGTAATTAAGACTGTAGAGTCACACATTAATGACTAACAGCAAAACTCACGTTCTGTAAAACTAAATTACGAAAATGAGCCATGTAAAATACATAATGTTCCGCCACCATGCCAGATGTGGTCAGCTTTCATGTTTTGGGGTCTTCCCAGATGCAGATGGGAAGAGATACACACAGGGAATTTAAAATTACTTATCACAGTCCTAAACTCCAGGCCACTCAAGCACTATTTGTCCTGGACTTCTGAAGGGAGTTTTATGAACCATGGCTGCTCCAGAAAGCGGGTGTGGACCAGGGACCCCATGGAACAGAGCAGCCCACCTTCGTGGTGCAGCTTTTATGTGATAAGATAAACTAACCTTTGGCTGCAGTGCCGACCTTCCCCACCCCGACAGCTGCAGCTGCACACAAACTACCGGAAGGCCCCTCTGACTAATGAGCCACTGCCACCAGGACAAGCTGGCATTTCACAAGCGCACTGGGGGCCAGGCACGACCACCCGGGCCAGCCCTGCACTTCTGCCTCACTGGCAACCCGTGTGGCCACATTCCCATGACCTGGAGGCCAGGTGAGGCCATTCCCACTTTGCATTCCACCCTGCCAGTTGCTCTCAAAAAGAAATAATGTTGGGCCGGGGATTTAGTTCAGTGATTCTGCCACCTGCCTCAAAAGCACAAGGTCCTGAGGTGGATCCCCGGTACCAAAAAAAAAAAGAAATAATGTTCATGGCGGAGTTCAGAGCTGGAAAACGCAAGAGTATCTTCAGAGTAAGTAGTCGAGACACCAAGAGCCACTGGATTTGTGGTTTTTAAGCAGTTTTTCACAGGACTTCAGACATTTCTGTAAGTAGACATGGACTTAACCCACATTCCACTACCAAGTTAAGGTCATAAGAAAATAGCAAAATAAACAAACTTCAGATTCTACAACCCAAAAGCGATTGACTCAGAGAATTCAGTAAACGGGAACTCTCACCTACCACCTTCAAGGTCTCCAGCGAAGGCTCATTATAGCCCATGTTTATCAATGACCCCTGCTTCCTACTGAGGGTTTAGGAAACCTCAGCAAAGGAGGCCTGGAGGTCTCCTCAGGCAAACGTTGCAAAGGAGCTGAGTGACGGGACTGTACTTGGACCAGGCTCAGCAAGCAGCAACCCCTGCTTGTTGTACGGCCTGTGCACTCTTTAGTGGAGGAGGACAAAGAGGAGGAGGAGGAGGTTATTTCATGACACATGAGAATGTATGCACCATTCAGGGTTCCGTGGCATGGCCCTGACTAAAGTTTCCTTACAACACAGCACACTATCTGCTCACCGCCATCCGAGGCAGCTCTGCACTTCCGACAAGCTGCCTGCCTGCCACGGAGACCCTGCCGTCTGCAAAACCCACAGCATCGGCTGGCCCTTTACAGAAAGAGCTCGCCGACCCGTTTTGGGGTTTAAAATAATGTTTACTTTCTGGCCGAGGACACGGGCCTTAGGCTTGGTGATGCGCATTTAAAGACCAAATCTTTCAAAACATGTAAGTATGCTGAGGGAGCAGAAGTACGATATGTGTTTATTTTTGATACCAATCTTCGACCTTCCCCGTGATGGGCCAGAGCCCTAAACTGGGAGGCCTGTTTCACTTTCCTGAGCATGTGTGCTCTCCTTCTGCCTGTAGAGCTTAATCCTAAAGAATGAGCTGTCCTGGGCTTTTCCTGAGGAGTCGAATACGGCAGAATCCCTGAGTGATGTCTGTCTTTGAGCCCACAACCCCATGGGGGGGCCCCACAGTGTGCTTTGAAGGCTCTGAGAGGGTCCTGCAGGCGACTCCAGCTTGTGGTCGGTGGCAGGCTTCATGGAAGCAAGGACAGAGTCAGCAATCACTTCACAGGGCTACGGGAGCTGTGCCCAGCTTCTGGTGGTTAGGTCTGTCTATGTTTTCTCTGGCCTTATAGTCTTGAAAAGGAAGGTGAAATGGGATATCTACACTGTAACACTTCCATGAAATGTAACTCCCCATAGGACAGAATTTTGTCCTTTGAGGGGCAGGGAATAAATTGAGAGAATAAAAAAAAATATGTCCACATATTTGTTAGGGCTGCCACATTGTCAGTAACCACATTTATACCACAGGGGTGACTCCAGGCTCCACGGAGACCTCTGGGCAAGCCACCAACCTCAGCGCAACAGCCACATGCGACACCGGACTCTCAGTCCAGCCTAGTGTAACCTGTAGGGTCCTTCTCTGGTACTGAATGGTCTTGTTATTACTGTCTGTCAAAGTTACTTTTCTTGTTGCTGAGACAAAATATCTGACACTCAAAGTTAAAGGAGGAAAGGCTTTTTTAGCTCCCAGTTTATAGAGGTTTCAGTCCATAATCGGGGGTGCAGTGGCAGAGGGGTGTCGCAGAGGAGAAAACAGTGCATGGCAAACAGAAGACAGCAAGCAAGCAAGAGACCAGACAAGACTCTCTCTGTCCCTTGTATTGTATCCAGGCCACCAGGATTAGGGCAGTGCCACACCAATCAGTGGACTGATTTAGTAATCACACACACTTAATCCCAGCATCACACACTCTAGATTTGGCCACCTCTGAAAAAGCCCCACCTAGGACTGCATGAGGCTTTGGGGGACCTCTAGACACTGCCATCACACTGTATTTTCTTCCTCTTCTATTGCTTCTGTGGGTAAGTTGAGAGTAGAACTCACCACTAACACATAGTATTAGTAGTAGGGTAGTTTCTTTTAATACAAAGCAACAGAGTACATTCTTAACCGCGCCCCCCCCACAACAAAGCATCCCTTTTGAAAACTTACCTAGAAAAATCTCCTTTTGCCTCCTGTAGAAGGAAAAAATTCAACATCAGTGAAACACATTCATCCAGTGTTAGACTCATATACACCGTATAATCACAATAACTGCTCAGAACGAATCCTGTTTACAGCAGGAATGTACTTTGCCACCCCAATACGAGACACAAAGTTAAACTTTACAGAGTAATATCCAAAGAAAGTGATTCAAAATGGCAAAATGCAAGCTGTCACCTCTAGTCCCTGGTCTAATCATTCAAGTCTAAAGCTTCTGAATCTGAACACATATCTCGATAAAACTACTTCCTATGTCAATTTTTGTTCTGTTCTGTATTGTGGGCTGTTTTCCATTACACAAAAGACTCTAGAGGAAGGAGCCATAGAAATTTCAGTGAATCTAGTATAATACCTGGCACATAGAAGTATTCAAGAAATATCTGCTGAAGGAACAAATTAAGGATACTGCATCAACTTACCTTACTACTGTTATAGCTAATATAAGACCCCCCCCCCCAGCTTAAGGGTGTTTTACCTTGTCTTTGTCGGGGACATGGGGTGATTCTCTGGTGATTAATTCTATTCACTTGGTTTTGCCCAGGGAAGGAGAGAGCACCACATTCAAAGAAAATGGGGTCACTGAATGATCTCTTGATTTCCCTAGGCTTAGGCTAAGCACAACTTTCCCTTGCAGTGATTTGCTGTCTTAAAGTTTTGAAATAGTAGAATATCCTATTTACTGCCATGTATCAGTATTAATAGCTCTGTCCAGCTTGTGTCTAGAAAAAGTTAAGCAGACAGATAATGAGTGGCTATGGCCGCTGGCTGTACATGCTGTCTTATTTCCTCTCTTCTAGGTAGAACCACTTACCTGCAAAATATAGGAAGCCAACTCAAACACCACTTCACTATCAACATCAATAAGCTCCTGGAAGGGGAAAACCAGCAAGGATGGTAAGTTTCACATTTAACAACAAATTCCTCACAACAGTTTTCTAAAGAGTCTGGTCTTCTTTTCTAAAGAGTTTCTCAGACAGAATCAAAATACTCATAGAACGTCATTGCTCTGAGACCATAGCTCTGAATGACTTGGTCCCTAACACTGCCTGATGTCCTCTTCACATCTGAGCCAAAAGGGACCCGGGCTCCTGGGCCCACAGGGTCATGTCAGTCTTTAAATCCTGAGGGACATTCAGCAGTGGGCAACCCTAGCTTTTCCCATACATGTTCATCTTATCAAGCACTGGAATAGGGTTGCTTGGTCATTAACTGCACTTTCTCTGTAAACTCAACTTCAGAAGCAGCGCCAAGGCTGTGCTGAAAGCAATGTTGGAATGAGATTATGACCCTTTAAGTCAAAATTAAATCAGATGGAATTAAGAATACAGTTCTGCAGTTGCACTGGGCATGTTCCTTTCAAGTGCTTGTAGTTCCGTGTAGCTAGAGGCTATCATGTTGCCAGCACAGACATACAACATTTCTGCCACTGCAAATGGCTCTACTAGTCAGTGCTATTGTGAGGTCTAGGTCAAAAATGTTTCTACCCTATTCTTTCTTCCCTCCAAATACTTAATGATGATCTACAAACATACTCTTAAAAGAATATAAATTCATCTTTGGTTTTTCAAAAAAATGGGTATTTTTCAAAATAAATACACAGTTATATGCTGCCTGAAGATGTTTCAGGAAGGTATGACCCATGCACACCCATGCCTACGGCAACACAGCTCCCAACCGCTCAGTGTTGGACGTGGCCTATATGGCCATGAGCAGAGGAATGGATAAAGAAAATGTGGTGTTTATACACAACAGAGTGCTGCTCAGCCAGAAAGAAGGGTAAACTTGAGTCATTTGTGGCCGAATGGATGAACCTTGAGACCATAATGCTGAGTGAAACAAATCAGACACAGACGGTTCAATATCACCGGGTTCCTCCTACGTGAGAAATGCAATGCAGAAGTGATTCAAAGAGCAAAACAGGAGATATGTGACAGGAAACCAGGAGGGAGACTTCTAGGAGATGGGGACAGACCTAGGGATGGGGGAAGTAAAAAGAATTCAGATGCAGTATGAATGGGTACCAGCTCCCCAGGGTGAGCGTGTTCAGCCTCTGTCACAAGCATGTACCGTACTAATAAAGCACCCAGGTGTTTCGGCCCACAGTGGGCGTGTACACTGCAGTCCCACACCGTTACGCCCACCCGGGGATGTCACAGACATCAGGTACACTTGACAGTGCTTGCAACGACAAGGTCACTTAAGGAACACTTAGAAGAATATACGCCAGTGTTAAGTGACACACGGCTGTAGTTCCTATCTTTTAAAAGAAGTTTTATGGAGGTATAATTGAAAAACAAAAACTGTATGTTTTATGTTCACTTTGTTGAGTTGGGAATCAGATTTATGATTCCATCACCACAGTCAAGGCGATTAAACACGTCCATCATCTCTAAAAATGTCCTTGTATGCATAGGGGTTTGTGTTAAACACACTTAACATAATCTACTTGCTCATGAACTTCCACATGTACAATTCTGTGTTGCTACACACATCTCATGCTAGAGACAAAGGGGAACTTGGCATCCATCCACACAGAGCAGTAGTAAATTAGCTGATGTGGTATGTCTACTGTCAGGATTAAGTAGGGATGCCCATCTTGATTTTCCTTTCTTGATACGGTTAGACTGTCCTACAGGAAGACTGGACAACAGAGTCAGAGCTGGGAGGGGTTTAAAGCCCAGCCAGCCCAGCCCAGTGCTTACAGTAAGAACAGAAACCCAAACACACAAAGGGACCTGAGCAGTCACAGGGCTTTCATGCCAGTTATGGGCTGAAAACAAACCCCTAACTTTCTTTACAGTGTACAGCTTCCCTTAGGACCCGCCTTCCTCCAAATAGTAAGGACTCCGTCCCAGCCCACGTATCCTCAAAACAGTATCTATAACTGAAACTAGCTCAAGAGTTACTTTTCACCTGAATTTTAAATCAAACTTTGATTCATAAATTTTTCCCATTATTTGAGGGGGAAATCAGAATTAGCCCCTGCAGTACAAAGCAGTGCAGTGAGGCAATCCAATGTTTTTTGAAGAAAGGATATCTCCAGGCTCTTTGAGGCCTAAGAATTTCAAAAATGGGTGACAATCTTTGCTACTGAACCCCCTCAGAAGTATGGCTAAGGGAACATCAGTCTAGAGAAAAATGGGGGACAGTAATTCGTTATGTTTAATCAGCTGAAAGACCTTTATGGCCATGGTAATTGATGCACTGTCAGTGCTGGTACGTGGAAGAATGTCTGGAATCACAGTTCCGGGATTACAAGGTCCCATCAGAATGTAAATCATTTAACAGAGAACAAATGATTTAACAGACACTCTGCCCAAGGTTTCCACAATAGATCATTTCTACTCTCACTATGTCCACTTCCTTTCCCACCAATCGACTTTCTAATGTGCTCACGGTACTGGTTACTATGTTGGAATGTGTGCTTTTCTGTCAAACATTTACACCTACATCGAGCTAATGATCAAAGGTGGGCTAATGCTTAACATCTGCTGGGAGGTTAATCTGATGTGCAACTCAAAAGCAACCATCAGAAAACAACCCTTGTAAGTGTGACCACAGCTTTTAAATTTGCCACTGAATTCACCTGCAAAATGAAAGTGTTTATGGGGAGGAACGGTGGGGAAAAGGAGGTCTTTTCTTCTACACAGCCATAATGCAGGTCAGGAGGTTCTGCTGGAGAATATCAACTGCAGGGTACCATTATCTAGAGCAAAGCTCCTAACAACACACCACTAAATGCCTAACCCAGTTCAGGCTCGCTCTCTCTCGCCACAGTTGTCCTCGGGGTAAGTGGGAATAGAACCTTTAACTGGGCAAGTCTTCACCTTCTCTGACTGTGACCATCTCCCAGGGAAGATATTACAAAGAGTGAGAGTCAAGATGTGCCCAGTAAGAGAGAAAAGGAGTAAGAATAAAGTGCCACAGACACTGTACACACTTAACCAAACCCTGAGGGGTGCTTCTTACCTTTCCTATTTAGTACTCATTGGGCTCAAGGGTCTTCTCAGTGGCGTCTGGGGAGGAGCTGACACAGGGATCTAAACAGTGTATAAGAACCAGTCTAGCAATGGTGGGAACATGTTCCAAATTGTTAAGAGAAGACTTTCACATTCTGGCAGTTTTTCCCAATTCCATGATGCTCTTTGTTCATAGTACTTCCCCCCCTTTACACTTCACTCTCTCATGTGATTTTTTTTTAAAGATTGCACTGCGATGGAACAGAGCCTTAGAGTTTCTCCCCACTCCAAAATTTCCCATTGTACTTGATAACAAAGAGTGTGTGCAAAATCTCTAAGTCTTCTGGGGCTCCGGGTTTCCCTGGACAGGGAACACAATGAGGAAGAGGGCGGGGAGGCAGGAGCCTTCGAGGGAGACCTCTGGCCGCTTCCACCTGGCCATGTGCAGAGGCTGGGGCAGGCTCCTCTGGCTTGCTCAGTCCGAAGCTTGGTGCAGGAGCCCAGGGGTCTCTGCAGTCATTTCCCGAGTGAGACCCCTGCCTGGGAGCCACGGGGCGTGGTGGGTAGTGGGCCTGGGATAACCTCATCGTGAGGCTCACTGAAGGACAGACAAGATGGTGGAGAGGAGGCAAAGTCCTTTGGCTGGTGGGGGTCTGTTGCCTCCCTATTGACTGTCTGTGCCAGTCGCTTTATCACTGAAATTGTAAGGAATGATAAACCGTGGCCATCGGGGGTGTCTGAATGGGGAGGAGAAGGTCCACTTCCTCTTGCTCAGCCTACTTCACCCCAGGTGAAAAGCAGAGAAAGAGAGAGGCCCAAGGTCATTCATCAGCAGCACCATGGTTCACATTGATCTCAGCAAGATTCCCCAGTGTGCCGAACAAGCAGCCCGGAGAAGCCCCCGTGGCAGGTGTCACGGATGCTCTCCAGCCATCCCAAGTCCTTCCTGACCCCGCAGGGGAGGGTCTGGAGTGTTCTTCGGGCTGAGAATCCCAGTAGAACGCATCCCTCCATGCTCAGGAATTTCAGAACGCACCCTCACGTCGGATGAACGAGATGATGAGAACAGAAAACAGCATTCACCACCACGGGATAGGTGGAGATGTCAGCAGGACGACTCTTGTGGGCTGGCCCAGGGCTCTCCCACTGAATCCTCACACTGTCAGCACCTCTACCCTCACCCACAGGGGACCCAGAAGAGCAGTGTCCCATGGCTTCCTGAGACCATTTCCACTCCTGAAAGCTCTGGGCGCCAGTCCCAAGCCCCTAGCTGCTCAGAGACACCAGCAAGTCCCTGGGTCACCTCAGCCGGGGACTGGTGTGCACGCCTGTGATCCCAGCACTCTGGGATCACAGAGAGGAGCCTGAGGCAGATGGATGAAAAGTCTGAGCCCACCCTGGGCAATTTAGAGACTTAAGTGAGACCTTGTCTCAAAATATAAAATTAAAAGTGGTGGGAGTATGATTTAGGGCAAAATCCTTGGATCAATCTCCAGTGGGAGAGAAAAAAGAATCACTGGACCTCCTTGAGTTTCACTTGCCTCAGCAGTGAAATGGAAAAACAACTTCTTTCTCAACTACTGCACTGGGTTTGGTGAGACATAAATGGAGAGGAGATTTTGAAACTCTAAAACACGCTAGAAATGTCTTGTCCATGATACTGAGTTTTGCTCCTGGGTGTACACAGCTAATCTGAACACCATAGTTTTGCCTGTTCTTCAGCATATCTCATTATTTATAGAAATCTTTGGTAAGACTTTTTTCCAAAGAAATTGGCAGCCAGCACTGTGTGTGTGTGTATCTACATGAGTGTGTACTGGTTGCCATATATGTAATGATTAGTTTTCCATGCTGTCTTGGCTGGCTATAGGGTCCCCAGATTAAATGTTATTTCTGGATGGTCTGTAAG